AGAGCCCAACAGCCCTGGAAATAAATAGCATCTAATCGAGGTAGGAATACATAAAGTCTAACAGAGTGAGGGATATATAAAGTCTAACAGATTCTCCAATAAAGAGAGCCTCATAGAGTTCATAATACACGGAGCCTAGCAGAGTGGGAAACAAACTGTTTGAACAGCAAACCTGTCAGTTGTCCTGCCCTGTCTGGGCAGTGGAAACCCAGATTAAATTTTTATTTCACCAAAGTAGAAGCAGGTGGTCCACAAGCAATTTAATGGTTTTCTGTAACAGTTAAGCTCCACATTGTTAGTATTACTGAGTAAAAGATGGATAATATTACATTATGTATGCATTGAGGATGTTTTTCTTCCTAATTATGACTTTTGAGACAAATGGGTATGCCATCAAAAATTTTGGAAACTATGGCCATAAAGAATAAGATTTAAACAATTACCCTCGTTGTTTAAAGACATATTTTCATACATCTGTACCAAAACCATGTGTCACTGCCCTTTTTTAAGCCGACACCCTTCAGAGAAAGCAAGGAGATTACTCAGAGGCAGGTCCTGACCAGCATAGCTGTGCATAAGCAAGCAAAGTTGATGAAGAGAGTCATCTGGCTGCTTTTTGGAGAGGAAAGCATCGTCTTGGTAATCTTAGGAACAAAGACCATAAGCACAACTTGGAACCATCTGACCCCAGGCTATGATTTGCCTTTCTCAGAGCACAACAGGACTGGGTGTGGGCAGTGCTAGGCAGAGATTCCGCAGGAGAACGCGAGCAATTCGGGAAGTTGTGTCTGACTCAACAGTCAGGCAGCATGCGAGCACAGCATTAGGGCACTGCACTATTTTAGGGACTAAGTCTTGGATGTAACGTAACATGTACAGCCCAAACTACAGTCATCACCAAAGACTTTATAGCTGCTCTTGGGAAAAGGCCTATTCCCAGCGATTTGATGACAGACAAACAGCTGTTTATTTCTCCAGAGCTTAGTCACTTTGGAAGTTTAAGCAAGACGTAAGAATTCTTCACTTCCCATCCCGATAAACCAGGTGATGTTGTTCTGAATGGTTTATCAGTAGCATCTTACAGAGCACCATTTCAATAGAGAGGTAAAGCTTGAATTCATATAATTTCTTCAGTGACCATTCTGAATATGGAGTGTTATTTAAGTGCATGATCTTATCTGTGCAGTCACAATCATACTGGCTTCTTAGCAGGCTTTGCCCAACATCATGCCAATTCTCAGCCTTGCTTTCCCTGCTGTAGCCTGCTCCAAAGGGACATAGCAGAAGACTCACATTAATTACGAACTATAAGCCATGTAAATAGATGAGTACTTCATTTGCATACGCATATATCTGATAACCGTATGTAGGGCAAGTATACCAAAAAAATCAGTTCATTTTTTTTTGTCATGAGGTGGGACTGATTCTCCACAAAGTGGCTATAGGATAGAAAAGCTCATCTCCTGTGCAACTGGCACAATAGAAGCCTTGGACCTGAACTGCATTTATTCTGGGTGTTCTGAGATACCACAAGGGACCTCTTTTTCTGATGTTAGGTTGTTCTGCTGCCTCAAGATCATTATGCTTCTGGACACCAGAAAATGGACTCACTCAAGCTCATTAGTCCCTTCCCTGACCTATGAGTACTCACTGTCACCAACCAGGTACCGGGATGCCACCAAACCCAAGTTAGTCTCACTGTCACACTGACCAGCTTCTCTTCATGAAATATTCTAACAGGTACATAACTCTCCACCTCAGTAGCTTGGATGTAAGTCTATATCCAATTTTAAAAGAACCTCCTGCATGTTGTATGGAAAAGTTGTGGTGCTCTCTTACAGTCAGGCATAGAAGGGTGTAGGGGGAAGACCTTGAAGTCTTCCTTTAAGTGACAGCTTTCACCCATATCTTCAGCTTTTAAAAATGTCTGTTCAGGGGAGAACTACTACAGTCAGTGTGTCCAAAGAAGTCTGCTTCTATGAAGGCCAGTCAAGTCCTATCAAAAGACCTCTTAACTTCGGTGATAGCTGGATTGGGCCCTCAAACTGCAGCAGTTCGAGGCAATAGGCACTGACAGGACAACAATAATGTTGTTGTTGAAGTAAGCAGATTGTTTGATCATTTGGAAGAGCACTATTGTTAACAGCTTTGTTATATTGCAATAATCATCAAAAAGACATTTACCTAAATTTCCTGCATGCTGATATTGAGCAGAACAGCCTTTAGATTGTGGCCCTATTTCCTATAGGCGCATATATATGTGTATAGAAGAGCACTCTCATGATTCAGTGACTGCTTATAACAAACTGCCTAGGTAAATACTGACTTTTCAGAAGGATCCAATGAAAAACAAAACAAAAAGCCAAATATTTGGGAAATACAGGTATTTAGAAATTAGGTTACAACATCCATGTCAGAAATATCTATAGAGTTGGAAAAGAGTTAAGTTGCAACATCAATTCTACAAAGTAACCCCTCCCCTCAAAACTCACTTTGATGTTCTAGTCAAAAATTTCAGAGTGTAGAACAAACCCAACTCTTTTTTTTTTTTTTGTGGAAGCGTTTTTATGAAGAATTTCAGGAGTCAAGGATTTGGGGCTTGGCATCTATAGACCAGTAAGCAAGTTTTCAAAATAACAATCACCACAGCTATAGAGCAGGGAGCACACGTAGCACTGTCACAGCATTCCCCTTCCGAGCAGCTCTGGGGTCTGTGCAGGAGGAGTGCTGTGGCTGGTATGGGAGAATTCAGAAGAACACATACTTGCCTTGACAGTGTCTTACAATTTGTAAAATTTTCTCCCTTTCCTAGCACTGCCAGAAAGACTGAATTAGTGTTTAAACTATATATGTATATTCTCACAGCTTCAGGTTCTTGGTGCCTGTGGATGCTTTTAAGGATCCACATCAGTCAGCATAGCAAGTTTCTACAGCTATGGCTCAGAAATAGTTATTTTGGACTAGAGAAAAAGCTAGACTGTGGCAGCTTTGTAGCTTTTTCCAACAGGAAAAGGAGTTGCTGTCTTCCCAAAGACATCCTCCCAACTCTGCCAGGACAGTCCTTCTGCAAGATGAGCTTTCTTCAATAGATGCTACAAAAAGAAAAATACTAAAAATGCAGAATTTTGACACAAACCTTCAAAGAATAACACCGTCTCATGGGGCAAACAGTACTCTTCTCAAAAAATGCACACATAGCTTAGCTTTCTCCTCCCCCGGGAACAGCCAGGCCAGGAGCATCATGTACCTTTACCCTGACCTCCTCAAGGTGCACAGCTCAGGAGATGACCTTGTTTTGACAGGCAGGTCTGTCTGAGGCTGGATGCTTGCAATCATATCGGGGCATCACAGAAAAAACCTTGCAGCAATTTTGCCACTAAGTGGCAACACCCCCTGACTGAACATCTTAAAGGCTGTGGGGAGTCAAAGACTGGAATTTGACTACTGTGAGGGCTAAGAACAGACCAGGAATGTTTAATTTCCATGAGGGTAACATTTCTGACACAGAAGAGCCTGAACTGGCCAAAAGTTAACACAGAAATTGATTGTTCAAGGTACAGGGACAGAATGGTGGAAATGGGCCTGGAAAAAGCAAGTGTTTGCTCTGCTTGGAAGACAGAATACTGCCCGGGGGGGGTACCATAGTGCCTCATGCACTTAGGTCTACTATTTCCAGAGTGTATCAGCGCTATCCCACAGAGATTTCCTGACTCTTGAGATCAGTGTGTGACAGCCTACTCATGAATTTCTCTGCAGTGTGTCCCAAGCCCTGATAAGGAAAACCGAGGACTTATAAAGGAGAAGAGAAATGATGACACTTTTTCAGTTCTCTTACGCTGTTGCAGATAGACCATTGCAGAGCTTCTCATAGATGAGTTAACTACCTCATGCAGTACACCTGTCAGTCTGAAAAACAGGAAGAAGAAATGGATGATAATGGACTGTATGTGAAAGGGTATGAAACACCAGGGTCAAGGATAAGAGGGAAGGACTGAAGAGCAGGGATTCACAGCCAAGGGCTCTTCTCATGCCATGGATTCACCCTGGGGCCTTGGGCAATGTAGTTTGCTCCTGTGCCCAGCTAAGGTCAGGTAGAGCTCTCCATATGACCCATGTCAGAAGCAAAACACTTAAAGGAAAGCAAGGGAGAGAGACTGGCTTGTCTGCGAAGCAGCCACAACACCATTTCCAAGATACTGAGGACCTCAGATGAATGGAGTTCTATCTCTGTATACACTTAATTATCTCATTTAGTCCCAAAATAAACAGCAGGAAACATAAATAACTTTATGGCAACGTATCAAACAGGACAAGACAGCCAAACAGTTTCCCTCTCCCTCTCCAACCCTGCTAACGCTGTTTCAGGCTGCCTCTAACCACCATTCCCCTTCTTATGAAGGGGAATTTTGTGGGTGAAAGAACATAGGTGGAACAGGAACTCCTCTGACAGAAGAGAGAAGTCACAGATCTCATTGAGTGTCACTTGGAGATGGCTAATTGGCCATGGACTACTTTAAACATTTTCTGCCCCTCAGCACCTTTTTCTGGATAAAATATATTGATGAAATAAGCTCTTACAGCAGGAAG